AAAAAAAAAAAAAAAAAAAGAACTGCTTATCAAAGTTTGCAATGTTGTCCGGCCCTGCCCTGCCCCTGCCCTGCCCCCCCCCACCTCCCGGCCATGTTGTCCTGCCTTACCGATGTCAAAATCTGGTCACCCTATCCTAAGCAGAGTGCCAAGCTGCTGTCTGGTGTCTTAAATATAGGGAGGCTGTGGTGGTCTCAGCAGGAGCGACGGTGCTTTTGGCTGTGGGTTCCATGTCAGTGAGTTGACAGTATGTATGTAGATGAGGTGTCCTGGCTGGGTGCGACAGCTCACCCTGCAATCCTAGAGCTTTGGGAGGCCTGGGCAGGAGGACCACTTGAGCCCAAGAGCTAGTATGATTGTGCCATTGAACTCTAGCCTGGGTGGCAGAGCCAGACCCCAGCTCTAAAATAATAAAAACAAATAAGGAGTCTTTAAAACAGAAGCACACACAAAGCAAGGTTTTGTACCAGTTGACTGAAGAAAACACTGTAACTCTAAGCTGTCTGTCTACTGGGTGCCCTAGGTCAGTATTTGGTAATTCAGCATTGTGGCAAATTTATAGAACAGAACAGAGATGGAGGGAGGAACCCCCACTCTAATTGTCCCTTGGCCTCCGTTAGAACTGCATGGCGATGGTGGAGCAGAGCCAGGTGTGGATGGGCTCAGAGGACTCTGTCATCTACATCATCAACGTCCACAGCATGTCGTGCAACAAGCAGCTCACGGATCACCGCTCCAGCGTCACGGGCCTCCTGGTGCCCAGTACACAGACGGTGCCCAGGTGCGGCGGGCCCTGCTGGGGAGAAGAAAGCGTCCAGCTCTCGGGTGGGGTAGGGGTTGGCTGAGGGTGGGGTTCCCAAAGGCTTGTGCCCAAAGGGGCCGGGCAGGGGTGCAGAGTGATGCAGGGTGCAGGGCTGCAATGAGGACAGCCCAGTGCTGGTCTTGGTCCACTTCTCAGAGAGGTGTGTTTCTCCTGTGAGTGTGGTGGGAAAGGTCATCCCGGGGAGTGGTGGCCAGTGGCAGCCCAGGAAGGTCACCTCCTCCTGAGAGATACACCATTTGTGGTGTCAGAAGTCCGGCTGTGTGAGCTGTCCTTGGCTTTCAGTGTTGCCTCCATCGTAAAATGTCATTGCATTCCCCTCCCCACTAAAAGACACTCACAGGCCAGTGGCCTCTGGCCGAGACTGATGTGGGTGCCTCGTACCGCCCAGCCAGGCCTGCCAGGCCAGCAGCAGGGTGCTGTGACGGCCACCTTTCTTCAGACTTCCAGGTGATGGTCTTGAGTCCAAGTACCCTAATTTTTTCTCTTCCTTCTTTCTTTTCTCTGATGCTCTGTCACCTGGGCTAGAGTGTAGTGGTGTGATCACAGCCCACTGTACCCCTAACTTCTGGGCTCGACTCATCCTCCAGCCTTAGCCTCCCGAGTAGCTAGAACTAGAGGCACCTGCTACCACACCCAGCTAGTTTTTTTGTTTTTTTTTTTTTTCTGTAGAGACAGAGTCTCACTTTATCACCCTCAGTAGAGTGCCATGGCATCATACAGCTCACAGCAACCTCCAACTCCTGGGCTTAGGCAATTCTCTTGCCTCAGCCTTCCAAGTAGCTGGGACTCCAGGCACCCACCACAACGCGTGGCTCTTTTTTTTTTTTTAATTGCAGTTTGGCTGGGGCCTGGTTTGAACCCACCACCCTCAGTATATTGGGCCGGTGCCCTACTCACTGAGCCACAGGCACCACCCCCAGCTGGTTTTTTTTTATTTGTTTTTTGTAGAGATGGAATGTGAGCCACTGTGCCTGGCCGGCCAAGTACTTTCATGTTAAAACCCACCAGCTGGCATACCGACTCTGTCCTGCCCTCCCTAGCTCGCCTGGGCCTTGAGGAACAGGTGGCTCTGAAGGCCACAAAGGCAAATGTGAACTTATCACATAAGTGTGCTCATTCATCCCTGGCTCTGCCTCCAGCCCCAGCCTGCTCAGAAAGGAGTCATCTGGGGAAACGAGAGATTTGAACTACAGAACCCTGGGGTTGCTGATGTAGAGCTGAGGTCCGGCCCACTGGCCAGGGCCTCCTACACCCTCTCACTCCATCCAGGTGGGGCCTGGCCCCCTACATGCCTGCTTTTGCATGTCCCCAGAAGAGCTGAGGTGTTTCTCTCTCTGGCCCATCCAAATTCCGCATGACAAACCTTCACCAGCCCCTGCCCCCTGCCCTCCTGCTGTGTCTGAGCACTTAGCACCTTCTGACGGTTCACTTTGTGTGAGTGTCCTAGGGCTGCAGTAACAGAGCTCCGTGCCTGAGGAACTGACACCTGCACAGTTCTGGAGGCCACAAGACCCAAAGCAGGGTGTGGGGAGCTCAGGGTGGACCCTCCTCACTCCTGACGCCTGGTGGCCTTTGAAATCCCTGGTGTCCCTTACCTTGTGGACAGATCCAACCCTGTGTTCTCACAGCCTTCTCCCTCTGCACCTGTCTGTCTGCGCCCAATGCCCCTGAATGGAAGGACACCAGGGGCACGGCCCACCTTGATGACCTCATTTTCACTTGGATCTCTCCCTAGTAGAAGGGCCTATCTCCAAATCCTGTTCTGAAGTCCTGGGGTTCAGGACACTAATGTGTCTCTTTTCGAGGGTAAAGTCTAACTCACGACAGTTACCTCCTTCACAGTCTTCACCACACCCTAGGGTCACTGCCTGCCCTGCTCTGCCTAACCCTGTGCTTAGCCCGTGGTCAGCACAGAGCAGCCCCAGAACTAGTGGGCCCAGCACACAGCGGCCCCAGCCCACAGCGGCCCCAGCAGCACACAGCCCCAGCACATAGCAGGATCTCCTCACAGCAGCCCCAGCACATAGCAGGATCTCCTTCCAATGTGGAGGGAGCAGGGGCTCAGTGGGAGCAGGTCCCAGGCCACCCACTTGGGACAGACAACCCCAGCCCTGGGTGTGGGGTGGGGACCACTGCTTTTCCCCCCTTCTCCCTCGTGCCGGGCCCTCGTATCCGTGTTCCAGGGATATGAAGTGCCAGTCTGCAAGTGAATGGAACTCAGGAGGTGGAGGGATGTGTGTGGTGCTGACTGGCCCACGCAGCCCCCTCATTTGTGGCCAGCACTGGTGGTGACCTTGAGTACCAAGGAGTGCCCTGGCCATCCCTGGCCCCTTTGTGAGTGGGTCCATAGGTGCGGCTGATTTCAGTTAATGGTGGCATTGTGTCCTGAGTGCTATCACCTCATCAGGCCTATAACAAACACCCAGGGAGAGGTGGGCATCCTGGGAAGCCTGCCTTTTTCTGCCCAGTCAGTTACATTTTAACAAAGCCTTGTTTCAGCCCCATTTGTAGAATGTTCAAGTTTGTTACTGTCTCAAGGTAACTTTGCTCTTTCCCAGTGAAGGGCTGGAATGTATTTACAGCCTGGATTAAGTGTGTGCACACCTTCTGCTCCCCCAGGGAGGTTTATTCATGCAGCCTGGATGGGACGGTGCTGGCATGGAACGTGAGCACCCTGCGGGTGACCAGCCGATTCCAGCTGCCGTGCGGAGGCCTCACGTCCATCAGACTGCACAGTGGCCGCCTGTGGTGCTGTAAGTCCTGGGGGTCCCATGAACAGGTGACTCCCTGCTCAGGGAAAGGATGCCAGGTGAAAGCCAGAGCCTCCCAGCTTCTGCTCTGTGCCCATTTCCACTTTGATTTTAAACAGTTTCCTCTTCTGAGCTGGGCAGCAACCTTTCCTCCACTGAGCCTGCTGGTCTGCAGGGCTGCCCCAAGACTGCCCCACCCTGCCCTACCCCTTGGCCAGTGGCATGCCTGTCTACTGTGGTGTGCTAGCTGCTCCTGTCCTCACTTTGCTTTCTCTGCCCTGGGGTGCCCCTGGCCCAGGTACCCAGAGTTGGCTGCTTCTCCCTCAGTGGTCCTGTCGCCTTGTGGTTATGTCTGTGCCCCAGTGCAGACCTGGGGCCTAGCCACGGGACCCGGGTAGGCATTTTGCCAGGGAGTGACAGGCGGTCCCCTTGGTGGCACATGCTGTGTTTTGGGATGTTTCCGAGCACAGAATATGCTTGTGCTTTGAGTCCTTCTTGGCATGTGCCAGGTTATGTGAGTGAGTGATACTGGATTTCAGGTTCTTGGTCTCGGCGATTCGAGGAATGAATTGACTAATCACAGGATCAGTAACAAGACAAAATTTATTTACAGAAAAGAATACAAAACCACTAAAATTTCTGGTAGGGAGAGAAAATCCTAGTCGGGAGAGAAAAGCTCTTTCCGTTTAGCGGTATATATAGGTGCATGGCTTCCTTCTGTATGAGGCCAGGAAATGAATGGACACAGTCCCTTCCCCTGGGGGCAAGGTGAATGAATGTACTGATGAATGGGCACAGTCCCTTCTGCTGGGGCAGGGTGAATGACTGTACTAATGAATGGACACAGTCCCTTCCGCTGGGGCAAGGTGAATGAATGTACTAATGAATGGACACAGTCCCTACCGCTGGGGCAGGGTGAATGAATGTACTAATGAATGGACACAGTCCCTTCTGCTGGGGCAAGGGGAATGAATGTACTAATGAATGGACACAGTCCCTTCCTCTGGGGCAAGGTGAATGACTGTACTAATGAATAGGCACAGTCCCTTCCGCTGGGGCAAGGTGAATGAATGTACTAATGAATGGGCACAGTCCCTTCTGCTGAGGCAGGGTGAATGACTGTACTAATGAATGGACACAGTCCCTTCCGCTGGGGCAAGGTGAATGAATGTACTTATGAATGGGCACAGTCCATTCACGGAATTGAGGCCTAGGAAACGTACATGAAATTGACTTAGGCATAGGAAATGGGAGTTCCGTATTTAGTCATAAGTGTAAAGGGAAGGAGTCGTCTCCCCAGCAGTTGTCCAGTCCCTTTGGCTACTGGAGCCTCCAGTGGGGGAGAGAGGCTCCCCCCTCTTGCCTATGCTCCAGCCCACTGGTTTTTCTGTTGGCTGCCGCCACCAAGGCGGAGGCAGAGGGTCCTCCAACCCAGCTCGGCTGAGCTGGCTGGGGCACCACCTGTCCTATATCATGATGGGCACCAACATTTTTTCATGGAAGCATAGTTTACACATAGTAAGATTTGCAAACCAAGCAGACGGACCGCTGTTCATGGTGGACAGCCATCAAGCCAGCTGACAGACACAGTAGCCCAGCACAGCTCAAAGTTCCCCATGGCCCGTTCCAGGCAGTGCCCCCGCCCCCACCACTCAAAGGGTTACGATTGCTCCTAGTTCCATCACAGTGAATTGGCTTTTCCCAGAACTTTCTATAAATGGACTTTGAGACAGAGTCTCACTCACTTGCCCTGGTTAGAGTGCTGTGGTGTCATCACAGCTCACAGCAACCTGGGACTCTTAGGCTCAAGCGGTCCTCTTGTATCCATGAAGAAAGACGGTGTTTTGCTCTGTCACCCGGACTAGAGGACAGCGATGGTCATAGCTCACTGTAACCTCAAACGCCGAGCTTAAGCAACTACCATGCCTGGCTAATTTTTTTACTTTTTTAGAGATGGGATCTCAACATTTCCAGGCTGCTCTTGAACTCCTGGCCTCAAGTGATCCTCTTGCCTTGACCTTCCAAAGTGCTGGGATTGATTACAGGAGTGAGCCACAGTGCCTGGCCACAGGTGGTCTTTTTAATATGTTGCTGAACTTGTTTGCCCTTAAGAGTCTTTGCGCCAATGTTGATCAGAGATGTTGGTGTGTAGTTTTCTTTGTCTGGTTTTGAGATCAGGGTGATGCTGACCTTGTAGAATGATTTTGGAAGTATTCCCTCCTCTTTAATTTTTTGGGAGTAGTTTGAGTTTTTCTTGAAATGTCGTGTAGAGTTCAGCAGTGGAGCCCTCAGGAGCTGGGCTGCTTCTGCCGGGAAGCAGCTCTGCGGTCATGACTTGTTGGACTGTGGAGATTTCCTCCTTTGTCCTGTTCCATCCTGGCAGGTTGTGTGTCCAGGAATGTACCATTCCTGCTCCGTTTAGTGTGTTGACATGTGAGTTCCTGTGGGCTCAGTTGTTACATCTGCTTTCTCAGTCCTGCTTTTGTTTATTTTGCTCTCTTTTTTTTATTAGTCTAGGAAAAGGCTCATTGATTTTGTTTATCTTTCAAAAAAACTGACTTTGGGTTTCCTTGGCCTTCTGTGTTCTCTTAGTCTCGTTTCATTTGTTCTGCTCTTTGTTATTTCTGCCCTTCTGCTAATTTTGATCTGTTCTTACCTCTCCAGTTCCTTGCGGGGCGTTGTCAGGCTGTTTATCTGCCGTAGCATTTATTGCTATGGCCTTTCCTCGTATCCCACAGATTCTGGTGTGTTGTGTTTCCATTTTCCTTTGTTTCAAGACATTTCTTCATTTTCTTCTTAATTTGTTCGTTGCTCCATTGGCCATTCAGGAGCGTGTTAATTTCCATGTGTCTGTGTAGTTCCTGAGGTTCCTCTTTTTTCTGATGTCTACTTTTTTTCCTCTGTGATCAGAAAAGATGCTGGATGTGACTTCTACTTTAAACAAATTTTAAAATTTGTTGAGACTCAGCTCGGCGCCTGTGGCTCAAGCAGCTAAGGCGCCAGCCATATACACCTGAGCTGGCAGGTTCGAATCCAGCCTGGGCCCGCCAAACAACAGTGACAGCTGCAACCAACAATAACCGGGCATTGTGGTGGACGTGTGATGTCTCAGCTACATGGGAGGCGGAGGCAGGAGAATCGCTTGAGCCCAGGAGTTGGAGGTTGCTGTGAGCTGTGATGCCACAGCACTCTGCCCAGGGGGACAGCTTGAGGCTCTGTCTCAAAAAAAAAAAAAAATTGTTGAGATTTGTTTGTTACCTCAGTCTTAGCCCCTGAGATATGGTCTGTGCTGCAAGGGGTGGTGAGATGCTCTCTAAGTGTCAGTCAGGTCTGCTGTGTGCTTTGACTCTGGCGTCTCTGTGTGATTCTCCCTCTGGATGATCTGTCCAGTGCTGAGCGTGGGGCGTTGTACCAAATCTGTCTTTCCCATTAGGTTTAGTAAGTTTGTTTTTTATACTTGGGAACTCTGAAATGTCTTCTCAGCTCCTAAATGTTCCAGCTACTGCTTTATGCTATTCATATGCAGTTTAGGAATCAGCTCAAGAGTTGAGAAAAATTGATGCATATACGTATATTTGGGGGCTCCTCACTTTGAGGATATTCCCCCCCCCATTTCTAGACACATTGTCAGCATTAAGTTGGCCCCTCAGCCACGTGCTGTGGAACATCTACTCCCCAGCAGCCCACAGAGAAGGGGACAGAGCCTGGGGAGAGGCCGGGCCCTGCACAGCTGCCCATGTCTGCTTCCTTTCCTGCAAGGGTTGGGCCTCCTCCATTTCCGTTGGTCTCCAGTGGGTGTCAGGTGTGTGTGTGGGTATGCTTTCATTTGTGGGGGGTGTGCCCACCTGTGGGTGCACTGTGACCAACACTGCTGACCAGACCTTGGGCTGGAAGGCTCCTACTGATTGTACAGAGGGATGGACAGCCTCACTTTAAGGGTAGAATCCCTTTTATTTTTCAACTTAATACAATAAGGAGTTTCCCTGTGTGTCACTGAGAAAAGTACAAGAGGAAAGTAGGGTTTCTCCAGGTAAAGGAGAATGTTTGCTCCCAAAGTGTTGTGAACTCACCTAGCCAAGGATAAGAAGCAGCGATTCTGTTCCCACATCAGATGCCGTGGGTTCGGATACTTGGGTCACGCCGTAGTCTTAGCTCCATCCAGGTATCTGTGGGTGCCATGGCGCAGCCTGACGGAGCCGATGGGGCCAGGGTGGGTGGTGGTTCTGGGCTTTCCTGTCCAGTCTGCCGACACTACTTCAGACCTTCATGTCTTCCCCAGAGTCTGGGGTGGGCAGCACCCCCCGGCACCACTGAGCTTGACTGTTGCTCAGAAGGCTGAATGCTTGCGACATTGTCTAGAAGGGAAGTGGGCTCCTTACCAGTCACCCTGCCAGAGGCTCCTGTCTGCCTGCCCACTGGGCGCTCGCCCTGCCAGAGGCTCCTGTCTGCCTGCCCACTGGGTGCTCGCTGTGTGGCTTGATCCACGCTTGGCCACCAGATCCATGGTTACTGTGGGCTGGCCCCTCACCCTCTTGGCATCTATTTGTTTGAAAAGTGAGATGTAAATACCACCCTTCCTATCCTGAGGACACTAAGGGTCAGGAAGGGCTGTCAGCCTCCAAGTGCACAATGAATGTGAAGTGCTAATGATAAGGACCCAGGACTCAAACTCAGTGGCATGGGCACTGAGCCCCAGAGGTACCAGCCTGGCTATGAAAGAGGACACAGGATAGGACCAAAGCTTTGAAGAGGTGAAAAGTGAATCAGCAGAGTAAGGGTGACCTCCCTGCAGCTGCCACGCTCAGCCCAGCACACAGGCCAGCCCGAGACCTGCCACCCTCCCTGCTCGCCTCACCCACACTGTTCCCCTGCCCCTGCCCTGCCCTCTCCAGGCCCACCTCGGGGACAGTGATTTGTCCTGCTCACATCTGCTCCCCCTGGCCCTCCGTGTGCAGCAGGCTCCTGCATGTCCCTGACCAGGGTCCTGGTCCGAGTTCCAGCCCTAGGGCCCAGGCAGCACTGGCACATATCAGCATGTTGGTGAAGAGCCAGGAGTACTTTGAGAACCAGTGGTCTAGCCACCAAGGAGGAGCCCCATAGGCCAGTGGACCCAAGGTCCAGTGGCATCTGGGAGGGCCCGTCCATCAGTCCCCCTGGATGCCGCCTACATGGGTGAAGGCTTCTGTGTGATGCTGGGTCTCAGGAAAAGCAACATTTAGCCAGACTGAGAAGCAGGCAGGCAGAATGTAGACCAACTTAGCTTCAGAGCCATCAGGCTACCAAAGACCGAGGGGCCATTCCTTGGATCAAGCTGAGTGCCAGGGGAGCCTGAGTCCCATGCCCCTGCAGCCAAGTAAAGCCTGTGCAGTGTCTCCAGGCTGCATACCTCCTGCAGCCATCCAGACGCCCTCTGCCTCTTGGCACTGGTGCTCCCTGGGGCCTTTCTGCTTGTGAATCGGCTCCTCTGTCAAGGTCTGGATGTGGCTCCTGGGGGCTGATGCTGGCCCTAGCCCCTGGGGTGGGGGTGGAGGGATGCATGCAGTGATAGCAGGAGAGAGGAAGGTGACCCTGCAACCCGTCCTTAGACCGCAGCCTTCGGCAGATGGCTGGTCGTGCTCACAGGTTTGGGAACTCCTTGTCTCAGAACATTCTATTTGAGTGATGAATAAACAGACCCAGAGAAACCCTTAAAACAGACACAGCCGGGCTCTAGCGGCAAAGGTATTAGGGCCTTGGGTTCTAACAGCCTCTGACGGGGTCAAGACCAGCTTTGGCTGCAAGTGGTGGGAAGCTGCCAGCTGCTGCGCCTCTTACCAGCTTGCACGGGGCCTGGAGAGGGGGCTGGGTCTCGTGGTTTCTTCACCAGTGATAGGAGGTTCACGGCCCCACGTGCTTTAGCGTGGCATGGTGGTGAGGGAGCGTCACAGGTGTGGTGGGGCAGGCCTGGCACGAATGCCAACTCCCTGCCAGCGCCCATCACAGGGGTCGCTGGTCCCTGGGTTTGCATTGACTGGCTTCTTTGTCCTGCAGGTGCAGGTAACAGCATCCTGGCTGTGACCACCAGTGGCTTTCTTCGTCAGGAGGTGAAGATTGAGGAGAACCGTAAGGAGATGACCTCACCTTTCCTGGCCTTCCAGCTCCTCCCCGAGGTACCTGCAGGGTCTGTGTCCCCGCACTCCGGGGCCCTGTGCCACTGCAGCCTGTGGCCACGTGCCATTTCCCTTTCAGCAGGAGCAGCTGTGGGCGGCCTGTGCAGGGCGCAGTGAGGTTTACATTTGGAGTCTGAAGGACCTGGCCCAGGACCCCCAGAGGGTGCCCCTGCAAGACTGCTCTGATGTCAGCTGCATGATCAGGGTGAAGAAGCAGGTAGGGGGAGCCCCCTCTCTCCTGCCTCCTACATCACCGGGCAGCTTCCTGCTCCCCAGGAGTCCTTGGCCCCACATTTATCAGGCATCTCAGGTTTCTGGGTATGGCCAGTATTGTTAACTAGGGTCACTTGGCCCTTAGGTTTTAAGGCCTGAGAATGGTCCTCTGTGCCCACCAGGTGGCCCCTGCCTCTCAGCCAGCACTGGCCCTGTCCACGAAGGACATGGGTTTCAGGGTACGCGTGGCCACCCAGGACACCAGGTAGAACACCAGCACCTGGGGGCCCTTCCCGCTGACGCCTTCTCCTGTCTCTCCCTGGCAGATCTGGGTGGGCAGCAGAGGGCTGTCTCAGGGGAAGCCCAAAGGGAAGATCTATGTGATCGATGCCGAGACGAGGTGTGTTGAGAAGGAGCTGGTGGCACACGCAGATGCTGTGAGGACCCTGTGCTCTGCCGAGGACAGATACGTGCTGAGCGGGTCAGGTGGGGATGAGGGCAAGATCGCCATCTGGAAGGTCGAGTAGACAAGGTGAACATGTTCTGTGAATGAGGACCGTGGGCTTCTCGCCTGCTGTCTGGAGCTTCCCAGGGGCAGGTGCCCCGACGGAGTGAGAAGAGGTGAAGCACGTCCTGTGTCACATGCCCTGCGTTCCCCAGGAGGTGAAGCACGCCCCGCGGAGCACATCCCCTGCTTGGCTGTGATGAGCAGCCACCACACACCCTCTCTCGGGATAATCCTGCTCTGTGGTCAGACTGCACCAAGAGAGGGACGCTGGGTTCCTCAGGGAAGAGCACTCCTCATTTGCGATGACCTCTGCTGAGAAGCTACCTCCTGTGCTGTCTACAAGGTTCCAGAACCCACAACCAGGGACCAGCAGTGCGGCTGAATCACATGTGACCTTCATGCCTCCAGTCCTGTCCTTCCTGTAGCTCCTTATTCACTCACCTGGTCCTTCCTAATCACCAGGGAGACAGAGCCCTCTGGCCTCCCGCGGACACCTTGTCCCTGGAGTATTTTACCATTACCACTTTATGGTCTGTCCCCTGTCAGAGCAGGTGACCCCCACCCAGGGAAGATGACAAGGCTGTGGTCAGGTGTGTCCACACAGGGGTTAGGTCAGCACAGGAGAGCTCTGCCTGGGATCTTTCTCCTTTTTTAGAGACAGGATCTTGCTGTGCTGCCCAGGCTGGATTCAAGCTCTGGGGCTTAAGCCTCCCCGCTCAGCCTCTTGAGCAGCTGGGACTACAGGCATGTGCTACCATACATGGCTTCTTTTTAATATGAAAATGTTTATAATGAAGAGACCCAGAGGCCTGGTGCAGTGGCTCACACCTGTAATCCCAGTGCTCTGTCATCCTCTGAGGCAGGAGGATCACTGGAGACTAGGAGTTTGAGACCATTCTAAGCAAGAGCGAGATCCCATCTCTACATCCCAGCTACTTGGGTGGCTGAGGCAGCTGGATTGCTTGAGTCTAGAAGTTTGAGTTTGCAGTGAGCTGTGATGGTGCCGCTGCACACTCCAGCCATGATGATAAAGTGAGACTCTCCAAAGACACCTTTCTTCTTACCAAAGACCATGAAAGGTTCCATCATAAAATAGCATGTGGGATTTGGTTTTCTAGGAAAGACATCAGGTACCGGTGTGCTTTTCAGTCCCATTTGCAGCTCGTGTGCGTGTTGTATGTATATAATGCTTAATATTTAACTGAAAAGATACTAGCTGCAAATAACTAAATGTTTGCAAACCAGACCCTTTGCACATTTTTACTATAGTATCAAGACTACATTCCTTAAATGTTCTGCAAGGAAGGTCTTGGCTGGTTGTGGAGGGAGCACGTGCCTGGCAGCGTGTTGTGGGGGCATGTGGCCTGCCCCTATGGAGCCATTCCCATGCTGGACCCTCCACCCAGAGTCTCTAGGACTCAGTGCCTGAGCCTGCTCACCCTGTGGGTCGCAGAGGGTCGGGCAGGCACAGGGCCAGCTTCTGGGTACTTGGGGTGCCCTAGATGAAAGCGTGGACCCCAGCCTCTGTGGGGCCTTAATCGTGGAGAATCCACATCACTGAGACTTCCCCCCAGGTCTGGCTTTATGTAACCCTTCACTTCTTGGGGCATCCTGGGGACAGTGTGGGGAACAGCTGCTATGCCCCTCAGGACTGGGCCAGCACCAAAGGGTGAAAGGTTTACTTTTGCTTTTGTAAACATATGAATACTCACAATAAAAGTGTATCAAGATACATTCATAAATTATTTAATGACAATCCATGTGTAACCAGGTATTTTCAGCTTGTGGATAATAAATTCTTTCAGGAAGCGCTGATGTCCACTTTCCTCACTTTATCCAGCTAAGCAGTGGAAGAGCTCCTGGCAAGTCCAGCATGTTCTGAGTTTGCTCTTATTTTGCTCTAAGCACCAATCAAGTTATTTTAATGCAGACTTTTCATTTCGTTTACCCACAGTGGTACTTTCTAAGATCTTATTTTACTGTGTTTGAAACAACCAATGCAGAAACACCAGCGTTTCTAGGCAATGGTCGTTTGTATAAATGAGGTGAACGGGCTGGAGCCAAGGCAGGTTCTGTCCTTACTGAAACGGGAGGGCACTTTGATCCTTCATTTCCCCATCTGTGCTTTGGAGAGATCCCAGCCTGAATGCTTTGTCCGGGAAAGGACCAAGGGAGCTGGAGTTCACGTTCACTAAACAGACAGTGATGCCTTCCATGCCTCAGCATTAGGACTCTGAATTAAATTGGCACAAAAAAGTGTTTATCTTGAACCAGAAACAAATATATTTTAATTCCACTCTCTTGGTGTTTCAGAGAGTGGAAAGGGCAGCTCTCGCTGGGGCTGGCCCTGTGTTGGTCAGCTGTGAAGATGAACAACCACTAACGTTTTGACCGGTTGTTCATGGAAGATGTGTACACATGGGCTGTTATCAAATGGCACCCTTAGAATCCTGTCACAATTCCGGCTGCCAGGATTCCCAGTGACTGTGACATCTGAATAAACCCAGTGACTATGACATCTGAATAAAAGTGCATGACTTTTGTCCATGTCTCGAGGATTCCTTGGGAAGATGAGGGACACGTGTTGTAAGCTGCAGGGAGGCCGGCAGAGTGGCCCGCAGACAGTTGCTGTTAGTTTTTCTTGCACCCAACAGTGAGGCAGAGACACACACACAGGACCATTTCTCTCACCCACACTGCAGCTGTGGAGCTGTGGCCTGACCCTGGCCATGCACAGGATGGGAGTAGCTCTGGGTTTCTGCACCTTGGGACACAGAGGCAGCTAGAGGCCTGGGCATGGCAGATGTACCAGGGCCTGGTCTAGGCCTTGCTGAGGACCTGGCCACGTACCTGAATCCCCGTAGGACAGGGTGGCTCCTCTTTACAGAGCTGGTGTGGGGATTTAAGGGCACAGTAAACAGCTAGTCCATTACCAGGCACCCAGGAACAGCTTCGAGAATGTCCCATCCTGGGCTGCTTGCTGGGCTCCCATGAAAATATTAAGGAAAAGAAATAAAACTGTGACAGCTACTGCAGTGGGTTGAATGGGTGGCCCTCAGGAGATACATCCCTTTCCTAAGCCCTGACCTTGAACATGACCTTATTTGGAAAAAGGGTCTTTGTAGTTGTAGTTAAGGATCTGGAGATGAGATCTCCTGGATTTAGGGTGCACCCTAAATTCAAAGACAAGTGGGGTGGCGCCTATGGCTCAAAGGAGTAGGGCGCTGGCCTCATATGCCAGAGGTGGTGGGTTCAAACCCAGCCCTGGCCAAAAAAATTCAATGACAAGTGTCCTAGGAAGGAGCGCAAGAGGCCACACCAAGACGGAGGCAGACAGTGATGCCGCCACACACCAAGGCTGCTGCAAAGACACAAGACGGGTCCTCCCTCAGAGCCTTCACAGGGGTCGTGGTCCTGCCAACACCTTAGGACTTCTGGCCTCCAGAACTGTGAGCAAATAAATTTCTGTTGTCTTAACTGCCCACCCCTACCTGTGGTCGTCAGGAGCACAGGACACTCCTACTGCTCCCACTTGTGTGCTGGCTTAGTCAGGTGCACTAGCGTATTGTGTGTGATCCTCACACACCCGTGATGTGGAAGCATCATCCCCTTGGGACACCTGTGACGTGGGGAGCGTCTTCAACTCAGGATCCCCGTGATGTGGGGAGCATGGTCATCCCCTCAGGACACCCGTGATGTGGAAACATCATCCCCTTGGGACACCATGATATGGGGAGCGTCATCACCTCAGGACACTGTGACGTGGGAGCATTCTCCCCACTACACATGAGGTCCTCTAGCTCTGGTACACACAGCAAAGTGGAGGTTGCAGGGCACACATGCTCCTGTTTCCAAGGACTCAGGAGCAGTTTTCTCTGAGAGGATTTCAAGAGCTGCTTTCCTTCCAGCTGCTTTCCAAGGTGTCAGAAGGGGGACCTGAGGTTGGTGGTGCTGAGATGTGTCAGGAGCCCCTGTCCCTTCAGGAAGAATCCTGCGGTGAAGGACAGGATAAACTTACCTTACTTTGGTGATGGACAAGAGTAAATCTCCCCAACTCTGGGTCTTTCCCTGAGAGTCAAGGGCTGTATTTCGTGGCTGTCAGCTCTGGGCCAGTGAGACCCTCTGTAGCTCCGCTGGGTTTGCCGCTGCTCACCCTGGGGCTAGTAGGCAGAGGCAGTGTGTACAGAGACTGAGGGGAGGACAGTGACAAGAAGGAGGACAGTGGTGCAGGTAGTTGAGCCTCAGCATCACTGACGTCTCTACCTGGATAGTTATACAGTCAAATGTTTGGAAGAAAAAGGTTTATGAAAAGGACAGGAAAGGAGTGATAGAAAAAAAGAACAGATGTGACAAGTAGAAAACAAGGCGCAAGGTGGTATACTTCAACCTGAGCACACTGACGCTCACATCTATACTTCAACCTGAGCATACTGAGACATCAATACTCCAACCAGAGCACACTGACGCTCACATCTATACTTCAACCTGAGCACACTGACGCTCACATCTATACTTCAACCTGAGCACACTGACGCTCACATCTATACTTCAGCCTGAGCATACTGACACATCAATACTTCAACCTGAGCATGCTGACACTCACATCAATACTTCAACCTGAGCATACTGACGCTCACATCAATACTTCAACCTGAGCA